TATGTCCTCACAAATACCTGTCACCTCCAATAACATATCTCCCCCAGGACCAGAGGTCTGACGTTCGGCAGCACCTCTGCTCGAGGGCTCCCCAGCCCTTCCTTGGAGGATAGGGACCTTCCATTGTCCCCAGCGCTGGTGACAGCGAGGACGACATGTCGCCACCCTAATGCAACCTGACAAATGGGCAATTGGGCTGCTGCTTAGGGGATTTAATGGTTAATTTCCATAGCGCTGTGTCAGGGCAAAGGGCAAGAAGAAGTAATCCTGCTGCAGAGCGGGGATGGGGATGCCTTTCTGTCTGAAAGGTGCTGGTGAAGCTAGAAAGATTGAGTTAACTAGAATTTCTGTGTCAGCGCCCAAGACCTTTTATAAACAGACTGTATGATCTAAATACCATGTGACTATTTCCCCTAACTGCAATCCGGTATCAAATTCAGAGTGGGCCATGCCATTTTCTATTAGTGCATTCTGCATGCGTTCTACTATGCACGCGAGGCTACTGCATCTGGAAAGGGGCCGAGTTAATTCAGAAGGAAAAAATGTGTGCCCGTACGCTGGAGAACAAGTCTGTTCTGTGAGCAGAAGTTTAGCACTGCAGCAGCTGATATGTCAGAAGTAACTGTTTGAAAAAATATTTTTGAACAACGTTTGGCGGTTTTGGCTGAAAGCCATGAACTGCAAGGGGTTGTGAGCAGAAGAAAAAGCCTTCATGCTCTTGATGAAGCTTCTTAGGGCTTATAAGCTTCATCAAGAGAAGTCATCTTTTCAGGAAGACATAATTTTGGGTGATTTGGGGAAAAAGTGAACTGAAAACAATTCTTTGTCAAACATCTGCGAGTTGTAAGGCAGTGCACCCATCTATATCTATATCTATATCTTCTATAACTATATCTATATCTATATATCTATATCTATATCTATCTCCTTCCTTTAAAAACAGAAACACAACTACACCTTAATTTTACATGTGTGTAGAAAAACAGAGAATGAGTGTGCTGAACAATAATTATTGAATATGGATGATTTTATTCATAGTAGTTTTTGATATCCCACTCTGTGAGGAATATCAGTATTATATCAACGGCGCGAGGTCCCAGCGCGGTGACGGGCGCCGTCCCTGGGGGGTCGGGGCTGGGCCCAGCGCTGTTTCCCATCCCCGCTGGGACACGGGCAGCGGGACCGAGGCCCCCCCAGCAAGTGCCCCCACGGCCCCGAGCTGTGCGGTGGGGGGCACGCTGAGGGCAGGGGTGGCATCCCGAGGGACCTGGGCAGGCTGGGGAGGGGGCCCGGGCAAACCTCCTGGGGTTCAACAGGGGCAAGGGCAAGGGCCTGCCCGGGGGTCGGGGCGATCCCCAGCAGGGCCAGGGAGGGGATTGTCCCCCTCTGCTCCGCTCTGGGGAGACCCCCCTGCAGTGCTGGGGCCAGCTCGGGGGCCCCCAACAGCAGAAGGACCCGGAGCTGCTCGAGTGGGGCCAGAGGAGGCCACGAAGATGCTGGGGGGGCTGGAGCAGCTCCCCTGGGGGGCCGGGCTGAGAGAGTTGGGGGGGTTCAGCCTGGAGAAGAGAAGGCTCCGGGGAGCCCTTCGAGCGGCCTCCCAGGGCTTAAAGGGGGGGCAGGAGAGGTGGGGAGGGACTCTGGGTCAGGGGGTGGGGATGGGACGAGGGGGGATGGTTTTGCACCGAAAAAGGGCAGATTTAGGTGAGCTCTGAGGCAGAAATCCTTCCCTGTGCGGGGGGGGAGGCGCTGGTCCAGGGTGCCCAGAGCAGCTGTGGGTGCCCCCTCCCTGGAAGGGTTCAAGGCCAGGTTGGACGGGGCTGGGAGCCCCCTGGGCTGGGGGAAGGGGGCCCTGCCCGGGGCAGGGGGGGGCACTGGGGGGGCTTTCAGCTCCCTTCCCACCTAAACCATTCCAGGATTCTATTACGTTAAACATCAACAAATATTTTCTCAATTGGATACAGTATATTTTTACATGTATTTTGCCCCCTGTGAAAGGCAGAAGTATGTGTACCCATGTGTACCTACTCAAAATATTTGTGAAATATTGAGCATTCAGGTTTCTGACAGTAAGTACTTCTCTGCACATGGAAATACCTATTTTTTGTATGCTACCTGAGCATGTATGAAATGACCAGATAGAACATGCTTGCAGCAAAGATCAGTGACTGTAACGGCAGCAGGAATTTTCTTCAAGAAGTACTTTCTACTTCAGTAACTGCCACAGTTCAAAGCAGTGGCCGGGGTGGCCTTGCTCTAGTCTGCTCAGGATTGTTTTTTAACACAAAGGGGTTTTTAAATTTTAATTCCTTGCCTATAAATAAATCTGTTTCACACATATAAAAAAGAAGTGGGGAAGTGAATTCTATATGTTCATTTATAGTTCTTGCTACTCTTTAGAGGTGGTGTTGGCAATTAAGCTACTTGTAATTACAAGGGGCACAATGTGAGTATTTTTAGCATGCAGCTGGAGGATTTCTGCCACCCTTTCAGGCAGGACTAACAGCCACTTCTCTTTTGAATCTGATGATTAGGCAAGTACTAACAGCTACATACAGACATTTGGAGATGGGCTGAATAAGCACTCAGTTCCGTAGAAGGGAATGTGTAGTGTAGAGAGAAAACTCATATCCTCAACTGGAACACTTTGGCCAGTACTGTAAATACAAAAGCTTTCTGTGATTGTAGTGAGAAAACCCAACAAATTATTTTCTTCTTATACTTGGGAGGAATTCTTGCCGTTATTTTATTTTTGTTATGTTTTAACTTAAAATATTGCTATTTGTCCTTTATGTTGGTAAAATACGTTAATCATAAGTTGCTACTGAGAGTTGGCATTGAGCTCCCCTCTTTGGGATGGGGGGGATCCTAATTTTTTTGTACTGTCGTGCAGGATTGCTGCCGAGACCATGCGAACCGAGGGTTTCACTGCAAGCTGCCGATTTCTTGACATTAATAACAGGGCTTGTAAAACCTGCCTTGTTTCATTTGGGATTAAAAAACAAAACAAGACCAAAAAACAAAACCCAAAACTCTCTCTTCCAAACCTTCATTATCTTAACAGTATGAATATTAAGCAACTTCCACGCGAGAGCCCGGTTGCGTTGGGTGCCTCTGGTCGAGCAGAGAGGCTCCTCTTGCGTAGGAAAGGAGAGACTCAGCTCAGGCGTCCGAGCACATCTTGTTTCCCTGTGCTGAGCATCGCGTGTGACTTGTGTTACGTGTAGCTACCTGCCCTGGAACCAAACTCTCCCGGACTGGTGCGTCTCTACCCGCTGCCGTTTCTTGTGCTGATGGCTCCTGTTGTCCTCAGCTCAGGACCAGCAGGACAGCGTCGGCATTTGGCCAGCTCAGCGTTGTATTTAACCGTGAGGAACTAAAAAATGTGAACAGTGCCGGATCCACGCGTGTACCTGGCTCCCTCGCCGAGGTGGGCTCCAGTTGGCTTTGCTGGGGGCTCTTCCTCCAGACCCCACAGAGAGCCGCTGGTCCCATTTCCTTCATCTTTCACGTGGCTGGGAGAGGCTTGTTTTATTCCCTTTCTGCTTCTAATCAGGATTTAATTTTCCTCTGGTTGATACGCATCTGTGTGGAGTCAACCCAATGGAAATTGGCATTCCCCCCTTCGTAAGGTTAAAACAGCAAAGTTCAATGCACCACGTTATCCGTTTCCCTCGCTGTTTTTATGGATTTCGTGGTGTTTTAATAAAAGGGCTGTTTTCAGATAAGAGCCAAGGATAACGACAGCCCCCACGATGGCCGTCACGCTGCTGGTCACGTGTGGGGCTCTGCTGTAAGACAAACATTTGGAATCAGAGGTGGAAGGTTACATCCCCACCCCTGGAACATCTTTCCTGAAAAAAAAACACAAAAATTGATGTAGTAAATAATAGTTGCCATGCTTTCAAAGTTGCTTAGGGATTATCTGGGTACTGCAGATTTCTCGATCAGTCTGGGTGGAAAAAAAAAACAAAAAAAAACAAAAACCTCAAAACAACAAACCAACCCTGTGTGTGCTGGATGGACGCCAGCAGCCAGGGAAAACCGGAGGCTCCTGCCACGTCCTCTCAGGGCTTTCTTGTCCCACTCGGTTTTTGAGGCATGTTTTTGTAATTTTAAAGGAATTTTAATAATATGAGCTGTGTTTTTAATGATGCGCTAGCACTGTCTGTTCCTGAATGGCTCCCCATGGACTGGGTGCAGGGATTGGGATGCTCCTGGGTTTGGGGTGGCTTCACAAGTGGTACCACAACGGGTATTTCTTTCTGCTTAAATTAGTTTTCTTCATTCATGGGAAAAATAAGCTGCATCATTTGTCAACAGCATCACAGAGGGAATAAGACCCTTTGGAGCATGGATGAGGAAAATGCAATAGTCGCATTTTGTTATTAACAGCACCCAGCTGAAAGTAGAGACAACCCGCAGCAGCTGGAGATCCTTGCCTTTGCTGAGATATGTGGAAAGCAATGTTGAAGCTTCTGGTTTGCCGAAAAGGTGCATTTTTGAAGGGTGTGAGCCTGTGTTGGAGTGTGGGAGACCCATCGCTGCTCCCCTGGACATCCTGATGGGTCTCCAGCTGCCTGTTTCCTTTCTTCCCTCTCTAATTCTGCAATTTTCCATCTTTTTTTAAAAGAAGAAATTAAATCCTATCGTGGTGCGGTCTCCGATGACTTTATCAACATCCTACCGAGGTTTTTGCAAACTGGCCACTGACCAGTTAAATTGTAAACGGTGACAAACCCAACCACCCTTCCCCTTGGCTCCCACTTTTAGCTCTCTGGCCGGGAGAGCATTTGTCCAAATCCTTTTCCCAGACAGTGCCAGGAACATCGCCGAAGCCGAGCCAAAGTAAGCACAGCACTGCCTGCCCCCACGGGCGGGCGGCTGAAGGTCCACGGCAGCGTCCTGGTGTTGGTTGAGGTTGGGTTGCTGGGGGCCGAGGTGATGGCCGTGCTCCTCGCGGGTTTGCTTCTGCTCAACCCTTGTTCTCTTCTGTTGCCCAGGGGAGTTTTTTTGGCCGCCGCATGAGTACGTCCTCGCCCGGCGATGGCCTCGCAGCCCCCGCCGGCATGGGTGCTGCTGCTCGGCTTGTTGGCCGGCTGCCTGCCAGCCGGGCAACCCAGGGACTTCACCGTGAAGGACATCGTCTACCTCCACCCTTCCAGTAAGCCACCTTCACCCGGGCTGCAAAGCCGCGGGGCGTGGGGGAAAGGGTGAGGGCGAACGTGTGTTAAGGCAAAAGAAGCAGCAGGGTTTATGCTGAGGGCTGAGCAAGGAGTAAATAAAAACCCTCCGTACTCATAAAACCAAGATGATGTAAAACCGGACCGTTGTTTCCCAGAGGGATAAAGGGCAGTTAGGGTTACAGGCAGTTGCTGGGCATGGCAGGAGCTTTTCGTTCCCTATTTTCGGTTCCTCAGTAATCTCTCTGGCGAGGCGACCGAGCTCCACAGCCACGCGGTTCGCCCGAGCACATCGATAGGTGTGAGCAAGGGCCAAACGCGACCGTCAGCAGCCGTGGCACCAACAGCTCCTGACTTCATTTCAGTAACTCCCTGAAGCGATGCTATAGCGAAGTCTTTAGAGCTTCCACAGGCTCTCCTCTCACCAGTCTATTCACTTCATCAGATACAAGCTTATTTAATTCTAGGAGGAGAGAGCTGTGTCTGCCATCTGTTCCCAGTGAAAACTCAACCAGATTTGGCTGAAAAATTTATATTCTCTACAAGCAAGATGGAATTCCTGCTTTAGGCCATAACTGTGACTTGCTAGAGGCCCAGGGTGAGAGGGGTGAATTTAATTAGTGCTGTTGTGTTGTCCCACCCCAAGCTGTTCCCTGAGGGGAGCAGCAGCCCCACCAGAGATGCTCCCAGGTGACTTGCTGGCCCTCACCCAGAGGAGCTTGGGGAAAGAAGCAGCAAAATGCCTCTTGCTTCATCTCTTGTACCCAAACGGGGTCTGGCCCAGAGACGGAGGGCAAGGGGAGGAGGTGTAGAGGAGGGAGAGGTGAGATGTGGCCTGGGGGGCTGCGGAGGTTCAGCTTACCTCGCCCCGTGGAGATAAACATGACCCGTTCACCATTTGGCTTCTGAGAAGGTGGCAGCATCTTGAAGATGTATTGAATGTGCTACAGAAGCCCTGCCAGGAGACCACTTAAGAAGTTACGCTCTTTGTTTGGCCAGATAAATTAGGACAGAGTCTGCTGTTAAAAACTTGGAGGTTCAGCAAATTGATTTTTCTTTCCTTTGGGGACATCAGCCTGCCTTCAAAAGGGGTAGCTCGCTTCCTCAGTGGGACAGTTTCCAGAAGTATTTTAATCCATCTGATATTTTGTTATCGGCACTGATAAAGTAGCAGTATTGGATGTGAGCTCTGATACCAAGGCAATAAGTACTCCTTGCTCACATTAACTCCCTTTGAAGTCAGCAGCAGGCACTTTTTTAAGGTAAACACGGCTGAACTGAGTCTGTATCGTATCTGTATGTGCCGTGCCTGCATAGCTATTGGGGATAGGATTTGCACAAATCAGGACCAACTTGATGAAGTTGACGGGTATGCTTGCAGAAAGATATGTCTGAAGAGAACAAATGTTGCTGTGTGCCTTGAAAAGCATAGTGGAACCGGATTAATTGGCTCATTTTAACTGCATATCATCTATTCCTTTCAGCCACACCGTACCCTCACGGATTTAAGTGTTTCACCTGCGAAAAGGCAGCAGATAATTACGAATGCAACCGATGGGCTCCGGATGTCTATTGTCCAAGAGGTAACCAGCTGCATGCTAGTGTTTAATTTAAACCCACCTTACAACAACCGCTCGCTGTCCCCGCCACAGGACAGCACTGAGCCCCCATTATTCCTTGAGCGTACTGGGATGCTGGTGATCGCTGCTCCTGCTTGTAAGCCTCCTCAGCAAGAAAGATGTGTAAGTGATAGGAGTAATCCTTTAAGCTTTTCTGTCTCTCTGCAGTGGAGGGAGTTTAGGACTTTCAGCTATTCCCCGTACTCCTCTAGCTCAACTGGAAATTAAACCCGGCTGATGTTTATTTAAGGGTTGTATTTCCCTTACTGGTGAGTACGGGACCGGGGTCTTGCTTTGCTTGATTCCCACACTTCAGGGCAGCTGAGGCTGCCTCTTTATAGCTGGCATCGAGACATTTTCAGTATTTTTGGCTCGTAACTCCCACTGGAGTCTGATGTTGGGGACAGCTCAGGAAAAGCTTTGGAATATAGGCACCCAAATAGCAGCTCCCAGGTATCAGTGAGATCCTCAGATCTCCCCCTCCCTTACCACTTCTCTTTCTGAGACACTCGCAAGGCATTGAGATTGGCCACAGCCCCCGACGAAGCCCGTTCGGTTGAGTTGGCCGTGGGCTGTCCCCTCACCACTGTGGGGAGCACGTCTGGGCTGGGGGACGCTGCCGAGGCTCGCTGCTCCCTTAGGGCTTTCTCTGGGCCCGTCTGCATCTCTCCAGGATGTCCATGGTCTGTTGTGGGGCATTACAAGTGCCAAAATATTTATTTTGGAAGGAGAAAGACAGCGACCTGCGCTGCGGGGACGAGCCAGCTGTGTTTGCAGCTTGTGTCAGAGCGCGTTACCGGTCTGAGAGTTTATTTGCTTTGAGCTGAAATCAGCACAACATCAACAACGATAAAAGAGGTCAGGGCTGGCTGGCATCAGACGAGACAGATATTCACAGACGCTCCCTGTTTTGACAAGAGTAGGTGGTATTAAAATGTCTATGTGTACACCCCTGTGTAAGGAGGGAGGCGAGATGCCAAGGTCTGTCTTTAGGAACAACCAGCAGAAACGACTTGACCAAATAAAGCAGCTAATCTGGAAAACGAAGTTAGCACTTAATGGCTGGTGAGGGGAGGGGAGAGAACCATGCTCTGGTGTGTCTGGAAGCCGTCGGCTGCATTCTTCCAGGCCAGAGCTGCCAGCTATGGTCACCAGCCCTCCCGCCTGCCGCTGCAAGCACCCGCTGAGCCTTCACGGACAATGGGGCTTTAGCCATGAGAAGGGACTAGCTGGAAAACCGAGTCTATCTTTAAGCTTCAGCACAGTAGGGCTTCTTAAGCCGGAGGGATCCGATAACGTTTCAGTCCAGGCGCAGCCCCTTGGTGCCCAGACTGCCCCGACACCGCCTGCCCTGGGGCTGGAGCACAGCTCTGCCCGTGGCGCGGACCCCCCCAGCCCCTGGCTGCTGGGTTTTGGGTGCCACCAGGGACCTCACCCCCTGGAAGGAGCGACTGCTGAGTCAGCAGTCCCTGTGTTTCAGAGGTGGAGCCGGGGAGAGGGGACGGGCGCTACGGCAGCTGCAGGGGAAGCAAAAGCTGGTAACGCTCCCCGCTGCGCAGAAATGGGCCGCTGCTTCGGGATGCCTCCGCACCGGCGTCTCTCGGCTTCGCGTCCAATACGCTCCCGCATGGAGCAGCTTCCGTTACGGCAGCTCTTCCCTTTTGTTGCTTTAATTTTCAAATGTGATTTTTGAGCTCGTGTGAGGAAGCCCCAGAAGCGCAGGCTCGGGTTCGAGGCGTGACTCCGGGCGTGCTCTGGGGGCTGGGGTTATCTGCTCAGGTGATTACCTTCTCTCCAGGAGCCGGGGGGGGGGGGGGTACATTTATTTTTTATTTATGGTGTGGCCTCTCTCGCTGCAGTGATCCGAACCCTTGCTGTTTCATTTGGGTCAATTGGCAGGAGAAAAACAGAAAACTCCATCCCACTATTATTATTTTTTTTTTTTTAAGACAGAATTCTATATTATTGCATTTATGTGCAGTTATTTTTCATTAACTGTAACGGAGGACTTGGAGAACCACATTTTGTGTATAAAAAGGTTCATTATAACCGAGAATAAATACGTGAATCCCTGTACTGAACAGAGATTAGAAAAAACATTTCCTAGAAGGGAGGCCTCCTGCTATGCACTAACCTTGTTTTCTGTTATTTATTGGCTTCAGCTCAAGCTGATCTAATTTATATGGAAATACCGCACTCGAAATACTCCCAATACTCTATTTTTGGACAGCCTGTGGGCAGGCTGACAACTCATGAAGGGGATGATGGCCACGACCACCGAGGTGATGTTCCAGTGCCGTTGGAGGCTGTGATCTGGGAAACGGGATCTCAAAAGTCAGCGTGTGACTCTCGGCCCTTCCAAATACCAGATTCAGCGTTTCCCTACTTTGTTTAAAGCATAGAGGTCTAATTTCTCCTACTGGAGACACGTACCAGCCTTGCTGGGTGTCAGCATGTGGGGCTGGTTGGCTTGCTTTTAGCCTGGATGTTGGTCTGCACGATGACTCCTGGTTTCAGTAGCCGGTTTCTTCATTCGTGCTCCCTTCAGGGGTCCAGGGGGGTGCCCAGGAGGTTGGACCCCACGGACAACCTGCGTTTTAGCCATGGGGTGATGCTGCTGTAGGTCACCATCACCCCCGGGCATGGTCAAGGCTGAGGCGGTCTGTTGTGTATGGATGTTTGGAGACAGCTGAAGCACGTTGTGCAATCTTTGCAAGACAGTTCCACCGGGGGAAGGAAAAATGCAAAAGGAGAGGTGAGAGTGTCACCTATCATGCCGGGGGTCGGCGTAAATCGACAGCCCTGAAAATACCCCCAGTTAATCACGTAGAGCAACAATCTCATTTTCAAATGCTTTTCTAATGGAATGTGTTGCTGAACAGACTGAATATTACACCACAATCAGCCTGGCTCTCAAGTGCCTTTAAAGACACTCTGGAACTGCAAAATTTAGGAAACATAAACCCGTGTTTTTTTGGTACGAGACCACAGAGACCTGCCCTTACCCTGTGGCCATATTGCTGCCTGGCTTGGGCACCTCGTTACTTAGAGGCATCAACTTTCATGCTGCAGTGTTTTATTTTAATTGCTCTAAATTTCTCTGTTATTTTCAGTAAAATTTGTATAGCGTTGGGCCCATGTTCTTCACGGGCTCAGCCTGGATTTCCTCCTCCACCCTCCCGGCAGAGCGGGCGTTATGGGTTAGATGTGGTGATGTTCCCCACCTCTGCTTTGCTCGGGGCTCTCCCGAGTGCTCTCTGGCCCAATACTTTTCGTAGCACCTCCCCTCGTTGTGCTTAGCCTGCTTAGAGAAGAAAGCAAAAGTTAATATTAATTTGAGTGAGTGGATTTTGTTGCTTATCGTGGACATAGTCCGTAGCTGCAGCCCTGCCTTGCAGGAGATGATAGCCGTCCGTGATGGCTGTGCGAGGAGAAGGCAGGCTTGGTCCCCCCTGTGTGAGGAAAATACGTATCTCCAAGATGATTGCACCATATTTTCTGAAAGACACGCTTGGAAGAAAGAATCAAACAGCCTTAAAAGAGTTATGGGGTGCTAGAAGCTTTATTTGTTCCACCTGGGACCTGTCAAGGGCGAGCGCCGCTGCACAGACAGAGCCATTGCAGGAGAAATAAAGCTCCGGTGATGCTCGTGCAGATTTGCTGGGGAATGGTACTTCCAGGCAAGGTCCTGGGAGAAGCTCAAAGCTGTTGTGCAGAGATTGTTCCCCTTGGGGTTAAAACTCTTCACCCCTTCGGGCGGGAGAGCCCGGAAAACGCATTAAAAGCTGCGTGTTGCAGCCCTGGCGGGTTTGAAGGGAGACAGCACACCGAGCATCTCCAGCCTCTGGTGATAAGTTAAGCCTGTTTGCTGTGGATATCGCACTCGAGTTAAGAGCAGGTCAAAGATATAACAGATGTCTGAGGGGTTTTATTGCCTGACGAATAACGTGTTCAGTCGGCAACCTCGCTCGGCCGTCGCTGAATGCCGCAAACATGAGAAGCATGCAGGGCTTTGCCCATCGGAGACAAGGGCTGAGCAGGAATGTTCACTTTAAATTAATGACACTCCTTTTTTTCCCCCCTGTGAAAGCCACAATTGTATTACTAATACGGTTGATTAATAAGGAGCAAGGTGTAGTTTAGAGAATAAATATATGTCAGGTTTCCTGCGTTGAAAATCCAGCGTTTTCATCTTGGCGCCCCAGAAAGGGGCAACAGCACCTTCAGCTTCCCTCTGACAACTCAAGCATGAAATAATCCCAAATTCCTTTATGCCTGAGGATAACCACAGCATTTTTCAGTCATTCTGCTTTGAATTTTCTGTGTGTTTCACAAGCGTCACTAGAGAAGTAGCTTAAAAAAGGAGGAGGAGGAGGAGGCTGGTCTTCCCTTAGGGGAGAAGCGTGCAGAAGATGCGATGGGAATTCCATTTCATGCTGTTTTATCCGAAGACCAGGAAACTGAGAAATACACAATTCCTCCCAGTTGTTCTGCCGGTGTTTTGGCATTGTTTTACAGACAATAAAACTGAGGGATGGAGAGGGTGAAAGCTCTTCTCCGGGCTGTGCAGGAGCTGTGGGAGAGCCAGGATCGGAAGGCGAGCAGCGAGGGCAGCTTGCACAGGCTGCTAGGGTGTAGGGAAAGGCGGCTCCGTTGCCTAACACTTTAGGTAGGTCTACAGAATTGTGCACGAAGCTAGGAAAAAATTAAGGCTAGACAAATGCAAGTTAGCTTCAGACATAAACAGGTACTGTGAATGTTTGGTTTTTTTTTTAAAGACAATTCCCGTAAAACCAACAGTGCACAAGATTTGGGGTGTTTATTTGAAATTCCCTCTGTAACTTGATTATCCAGCGTGCGTGCATTTCTTTATTGGTAACACAGAGAATCACATTAGTACTGGGAACAAATCTCCATGTTCCAGAGCGCTTTGAAACCTCCGGTTTGCACCAGAGCTAGGGGTGCGTGGGGATGTCTATTTAGTGACATTTATGTATTGCAGTAAATATATCAAAATTCACTTTTTTTTTTTTTTTTTTTTAAATCTCAAGATTTGGAAAAAAAAAAATCGAAGACTTCTTTCCTATTTCTTCCTATTTGTAGACTATCGCAAAGTTTTAATTTGACAGACAAACAGATTTTTCTGTCTTGCTCTAGGTACAAGATACTGCTTTAGCCAACACATGATGAAAGTTACTGGAGAGAGTGTATCTGTCACCAAACGCTGTGTGCCGTTAGAGGACTGCCTATCTACGGGATGCACATATGTAAAGCATGAAGAATACAAGGTATAGGATGAAAATTGTCTTTTTCTTATATGAAAACTGGGCAGAATCCTTCCACCAGAAGTCTGACTGGTTTAGTGGGTTAAATCAGCATCGTCAAAAAAGAAGTTTCTCTTCTTAATGAGCTCCAGCTCATTTCCATTTGTTTCAGAAACAAAGGAATAACTTCTCCCAGAACAAAAGAATAATCTCTTTAAACGACTCTCCTGCCAGCAGCTCCTGGCTGAGGAGATCTTTGCCTGCAGAACTGCGCCGTGTTCCGTCCCCCCTGCGCCGCAGCGGATGCTCGCCGACCATCTCGTGGTTTTTCTTGCTGAAATGGGTGGGGGGAAGCCCTGAAACCTTTGGAGGAGGATTGATTCATTATATATGAATTCGGAGGGGGGTTGGATTCAGTATATATGAATCAGTTACTTATAAAAGATTTTTCTGAAGGTTGGTAGTTGACCTGTTTGAACTCCTCCTACAGGTTAAAATAAAAGAGCTTTCTGAGCTGCCAGGCGTGCTGCAGCCCCACCTCTGTTTTGCACATAATTTTATGCTTTCTTGCCCTCGGGTGCGTTAGTCTTGTTGCTCTAAACCCGTGTGCTCTGACAGGGTGCTGTAACTGGCCCTTCCCAGCCCCGAGAAAGCAGAGCTGCATGCCTTTACGGGCTGGCACGGGAATTGTCCATCACTCCAGTCCCTGCACACTAGGTGATAGGCAATAATAATAATAAAAAAACCCTATATGGGTAAATACTGATTTTTGGGAGTTCTGGCTTGTGAGATCTTCTACCAAGCAGCACTGGTTTATCATCAGTTTATTTGTTTGGGGTAAAGAAAATAACCTCTTCAAAATGGATGTGTCCTCCTTGTGCTAGCCAATGCACTGTTTTTGTACAGGTGATATGGTTCTCTAAGTAGATGGAGTTAAAAATAAGGGAGAAAATGAAGGGAAAAAAAAAAGGGGGGAGGGGGAAATCAGATTGGCCACTGGGCTCCTTTGCAAATGCTCTATCATTCTCCCTACATCTTTTTTTCAGTGGTACTGGTATTTTTCAAGTAACCAAGATCTAACCTGGTTTCTTTCAGATCTGCACCTCCTGCTGCGAAGGGAGCATCTGCAACCTGCCCCTCCCGCGGAACACCACCGACGCCGTGTTTACAACCCTCTCCCCCCTCAACAAAACCCAGCGGCTTTCGCGGCCCGTCCTGCTGACGACGGCGTGCCTCTGGCTGGGGTTGGTGTCGCAGCGCTGGGCGACGCGGCCGTGCTGAGCCGGGGGAGGGGGGAGGACACCGGCACGATCCCAGGCGTCTTGGGAAGACTGGCTTTCCTCCTTACGCGTTGTTCACGATGAACTAGTGAGCCTGGGGGGGGTGTGGGTGGGTGTATTTGAAAGGGGGTGAAGCCATCGCATGTTTCTCTACTGTTTTCTGAAGAAACGCATGCCAAATATTCCCAGAATCCATGACTGAGACTGATACATCTCTTAATGCCTCTCTTTTCTCCATGAAGAAATGTTATTTAGCAGCACTATATCGCTGCCAGCTGCTATTATCCTCACTTACGCTTTTGAAACTTTCTTGCAATTTGTTCGAGCGCTAACTCCGGTGTCTCATTAACCTGTTTGGAGAACGTGCGGTCAATAATATACAGCCAGTATGTTTTTGCAGCCTCCCCCTCTGGCAGAGGAAGGGAGTTGGTAGCAAGGCAGCAGGAGCTGGAAGGGATGAGGTCAAGGGAGCAGCAGCAGCTTGGATCAGGCCAGCGTCGCGCACAAGATGCTCCCCCCGAGGTTGTGTGTCCCCCCCCCCACCCCCAACAACAACAACCCACACTGGGATGGGCAGAAAATCACTTTGGTTTATCAACCGAACCAGAAAAACTCTAAATACTCTGTTCCTGAAGCGTTGACTAGAGGGGGAGGTGGAGGGGTGGTCCCTGGCCCTCCCTCTCGAGGAGGAAGGTGTACGGAGAACTGGTGCCTGCCAAGCCAACGGGTTCCCAGTGTTCTGGGGTTTTACAGGTTTTTCACATTTTGGCACCCAGTCCTGCAGCACGAGGGAGAGTTGAGCCTGTTATTTTATTTAATGCACTCCCACTACGGAGTATGGACTATTACCAGCGACAGCTGTATTTTGGTGACCTGTGTTGCTTGTTTTGCTCAGAAATCGTGTATGCAATATTTATTTTTGTACGTTGAGTAGGATATAAAGTGTTTAAAAGATTCTTAATACTGATATTGCCAGGCAAAATGGTTGTTTTGCAAGTGGGTAAGCCTGTAATATATAAATTATCATAAATATATATATGTGTGTGTGTAACATTTTGCATCACTTTTAAAAAAGAATCAATTTTGTTTTGCAAGGTCGGTAAGAAAAGCAGGGTGTAGTGGACTTGCTTTAAAGTTAAACCCAACTTTTTGATAGTTATTTTGGTTTGATTTGAAGAAAAAACACCCTGGCCCTAAATTGTTCTTTTATGAGCTGATTTTTGGCTACTCATGCTCTGAGGTAGCTTGCGCTTTACCCGGTTACAGTATGCTCGTGCTCTGAAGTGCTTTTTTTGGTGAGTTATCCGGTGAAACGCAGATGAACCATATGCTTTGTAGAGAGCTCCTAGGGAATACCAGCAAGCCCTCATGCAGCAGCACCGTGTCAGATACCAATAATAGCAAGAAATCTGCAGATTGGAGCATGCAAGGTGCTGTCTGGAGCTCACTCCAAAGGCCACAAAACTCTGCTTGTGCTCCAGGGAGTTTTATCGGCGGCAGAGGAGGAGGAGGAGGAGGACCAAGAGCAGCATTTGCTCCCAGCTCAGTTTCAGATGATTTTTCTGGGGAAGGAGAACAGGCTGGAAGCCTTGGTGTGTTTTGCTGGGTGATGTTTTTTAAAAAGACATACATATATCATGGTGAAAATTGAACTTCAAGCACCGTTTCTTTCCCATTTTTAACTTTTTATCAAAAAGCAAGATCTTTGCGTGAAAGCTAGCTGACCTCACTCACAGACAAAACCTTGCCTTTTGCTGTCCTTCCAGTTCTTCTGTGACTTGCTCACAGTTTGCTAGTATTAAGAGGGTAGTTGCAATCTGTTGCTTTATGCAAGTTAGACCTATCTCTGGAGACCCTGAAAAAACCTCCAGCCTTTATAAAGCCGGTCCCCCTCCTCTGCAAGCTCCCTCGAGCAGAGCTGGGCTCCGGGAGAATGAGGCGGAGGGGGTTATGATGTCTCCGACAGCAAGTTAAATATTTGTTGTCATTATCCTGTGAAACGGAAGAGTTTAAGTCTAGAAGGACCTTGGCTCAGTGGTTTAGCTGCTCCTGGGGTGGGGGTTAAGCAGGTTTTCTGCACCGGCCGAGCCTTTCGGCAGCACTCGTGTGTCGGAGCGGGGCCGGATCCAGGACGCGCTCTTTGGGAAGCTGCGTTGGAAAGCCAGGGCGATGCACGAAGCACGGGAAACCTGGGGTTACTCAGGAACATCTGGCTCACCTGTCCAACCTGAGGTGGGCCCCAGGCCTGAGCCGTTTTATTGCGCGTGGGCAGCAGCGGCACCCCGTGGGGAGCTCCCCCCAGCTCACACGCTGGTGGGGGCGGCTCAGCTGGACGTTGGAAGGATTTACTTTTTGACTTTGGGCCTTGCATTTGGGAGTCACTCCTGAAGATACCTAACCGCCACCAAGAAGCAGGTGTTACCTCCCAACCTGAGGTTTCTGGCTGCGTTTTCTGTTTTCTCTGTATGCCATCTGCCCCCATTTCCCATCTATTTTTGCATTTCATTGTTGTTTAACTAAACCCAACCTGTGGTATGGTAACTCCGAGCTAGCTATGTGTAACCGTATGGGCTGAGCTGCAGGAATGGCTGAAGTTCTTCATAAGATGTTGGACTTTCAGGACCACTACCGGCACACGGAAGGTTTGGTGCCTGCAGTGAGATGACACGGGCGCCGGTGCCAGCCGGCTCATCGTGTGCACTAATAGATGGGATCTTCACGCTGTGCTTAGGTGGACCTCACAGACCAGGGACCTTTTTGGGGAGCTGGTAATGTTCTCTGCCCACAAAGACTGGGATGCCATTGATCAAGTATAGTTATTGGCATTGTAGAGGTATGAAACCAAGCCCCTTCCACTCCCCCGGTAATCTGTGGAGGGGAAAAGTGGTATTTCAGGGGCTGATTCATTGCACGCTGAGGTGGATGGATAAATTGTCTCAGCTCAGGCACACGATGGATGCACCCAGGAAAATAGCTCGGCTTTAAGTGCTACCCACCACGCTGTTATGCCAAGACTGGTCACCAACGTCACCAGCTTGGCTCTGACCATGACTTTGCTTCAGCTGGAGAAAAATCCCAGTTGTTGTGCTGTGCTGTGCTGGTGCCTCTCCCCCACTGGTGTGCCAGAGTTGTGCTTGGACTCGAGCCCTGTCCAGCTGAGCTGCTGCCTCCAGCTGTAGTACCAGGATTACGGACGCTGAGCTTAAATTTGCAAATTAAGTTGATTGAGACCAAGCGGGGAACCTGCACAGGCTCCTCCCCCGGAGCAGCTCGCTGTGCTCCGCCTGCCCGCGGAGCTGTTGGGTTTTTTTTTTTAAAGCACATAAATGGTGAGCTGCACCCTATTTATTTTTAGGCTCTATATATGTGATACTGCTTTTAAATGTCTGATTTTTTAACTCCTGTAAATGCTGTACATTTGTATAAATAAATCTTTTAAATATTCAGATGCTGTGTGAGAGGGCTGATAACAAAGTATATTTGCCATCACCAGCCCTGCTCTTCGGTACGGTGTCACCCTGCACCAGGACACTGCTGTCTGCTTCCCTGTCCTCTTTTCCTTTCTCTGATGTCCTATTAGCAAAAAAAAAAAAAACAAACAAACCCCGAAACCAAAACAACCAACCAACAACAAAAACAAAACAAAACCAAACCATAAAAAAACCAACCCCCCAAACAGCTGAGCTGTATTTAGAGCATTTTGTTTTAACTCTCCCTGTAGCTAATGAATCTTCCCCATGGTTATTTCTTACAAATCAGTTTATATTGGGCATTTAATCAAATAAGTCTGAGGAGGTTCCTGTTTAGTTTGTGACCCCTGGATCTTCCTTTCCCTCGCCTGCTCTGGAAAAACTCTCTGTTTTCTGTAATTGTGCTGTCACACTGATTTAGTCCTAGCGTGTTCTGGGGGTTTTCATGCAGTTATTTCTAATTTCCACTCCTGAAACCAACAATTACTCGGATGCAAACAACTTCATGTAGCTAATGAAAGGTTTCAAAGTTATTTGTGGATAATGTGAAGCTGGAGGCAGCCAGACCCAATTCCCGCATCTTTAAGTTGAATAAATGCAATTCACAGTAGCACTATTAACTACAGTATATTGACTTACGGCTCCTGAACTTAATCCTGAAACAAGTTTCTCCCTGGCAGTTCAGCATTTTGCAAGCCAAAGGTGCACCAGCGTGCCTTTTAGGAAGAGACTTTGTTATCCCACTTCAAGGTGCCTCTGGAAACACCAGTCCCTGCTCAGGGTCAGGAACAGCCAAACCCCGGGGCACACAGCCTTGCAGCACTTCTCTAGCTCATTACTGATTTTTTTCAGAATCACTGATTTTCAGCACGACAGCACAGTTAGCTGAAGGCAGGTGTTAGTTAGCAAACGCTTGGCTTTAATTTCTGCAAAGCAGTTGAATTCGTTGTCAGTAAAAACAATTATTGACTGCATAGATTTTTTTTTTTTCCTTCCCTTAAACACTAGGCCCAGCCTTTGCCTGCTTGCTTAGGCAAATCGTCAAGCAGCCCAGCACAGCCTTCAGCAACTCAGTTCATGCTACGCCCACCTGGCACCAAGGCAGCCAAAGTGATGCTGAACCTCCTGATTGCAGTAGCTGCGATCCCTAATACTTCTGTTTGAGGTTTTTTCTGAGAGCCAAGAACCTCTTCTCTGTTGCCGGCCAAAATCCAGCACAGACCCACAGAAAAAAAGTTTAAACTAACTGGCTGGGCAAAGCTTTTGAGAGCATTTTTACCCCCTTAAAGAGGCTTGAGCAAGGATCATACCCCAAATAAGTGTCTTGCTAAGGCCTAGGAGTTCCCATATATTCCTCTTCAAGGTCAGGGAGAAGACTTTGCATCACAACTCGCTCTTTCCACCGAGAAACAGCCAAGAAGTTGAACTCTGATTCTGTTAAATGGCATCACCACACCTGTATGTATGTAGTGGGGAAAGGAAATGGCAAATGTACTTAAATATATTTTATGGAATCAATAGCAAGCATAAATTAAACTCTCATGATCTGAAGGTACAAACCTTGGAAACGGCGATGCCCAAAGCAGCACCAAGTCAGACTTTCAAAACCAAGACTGGAACGAGCCCTTTGAATCCAAGTCAGTCCTTGTACACCTCGTGGGATTACGCTCCCTGCTGCATGGCAAAATGGGCTTCCAATTTTCGGTGCATCTTGCTAATACACGCTTTATGATGCCAACCTCATTAGATTGATCATTTGATTGGTTCATTTATCGATTTCTCTTTGCTCGGCTCTGGGTGGGATTCCCCTTAACTCTGGCATCCACTTGGATTCCTCCTCAGCCAACCATCAGCCACCCACTGCCCAGGCTTAGCTAATAGCTTAATTCCTTTAGCACTGACAGTATATATTTGAAAGTACTTTACACGTATCTATTTCAACTTATATGTACTTCTGGGGTTTAAGGTTTCCTATCCCTTTTTTAAGATTTCATCAGGTTTTAGACACGTAACATTTACACATTTCAACGCATGAGGCTCAACCCTACAAGTCTTAGGCTAAAAAAACAGCAGGGTTTCTTCAACATGATGGACTCTTTCCACAGTAAAGGCAAACAAACCCAGCACAGGGCTGACGATATTGGAAAAGCAAAGATATAAGCTGCCAAAAAAAACCCCTCCCCGAGGTTTTTATGCTGAGAAGCAACCTGAGCAAGCCAGCTTTACTGACATTTATAACCACTTCATTACCCACCAATGTACAATTTAACTAGGTTATAGTCGTGCTGCAGATGTCCTTATCAAACTTTACTGAAGACAGGCTAAACCTCAACTTGTCAGCCTATGTGTGTTAGGAATGGCTAACCCCAGCCTCTTACCCAAAAAGCGTTGACTTGGGACAGCGGTAAGGGGCTGCCAGCCAAGTCCTTTCTGATGCCAAGTGCTGGAAGGAGAACATTTTAATTAGGGAACTATTTTAAAGGGGTAACTTGCTCGGGTTTTCCCTGTAAAAACGTAAATAATTCTGCTGTGAGGTTGTGTGCCATGCAGTGCTGTGCCCAAAGCCCATGGCAAGTGTCACAGGCAACAGAAGAATGCAGGGTTGATTTTACTGACCCTGTAGCTGACCACCTGGAACAGGTATTTCTTACTGTTCATCCCCAACTAATATATCATCAACCTAAGCACAGGTAGGGCGCAACACGTGTGCCCATACATGGCTTTTTCACAACTAAAATGATGGGTTGTCACCTGAAAACAGCTCGCTAACCAAAATGTTTTCTCCAGGTGAAATATATTCCAAGAAGTTCATTTCCCAACATTTTCTACCAGTCATCACTTAATCTCTATGGGATATTGCTGTGTGTCTTTTCAACACAAACCCCGCCCCGAAGTCCAGCCCTCAGACTGCATTTGCTTTTCTTAAAGCTTTTCCAATCTGCCAGACGCTGCAGTTTTAGCGATAGAGATTACTTTCTCAGTGAAGCATAACACCCAGCTGCATGAAATTTCAGTCTCATAATCCTGTTAGGTTTTCCCTGTCAGACACCACACCGATGAGACCTTTGTGTTTGTGCAGCTCCTGAAATAGCAGCCTGAGCCTTATGTGAAAAAAAAAAAAAAAAAAAAAAACCCAAAACCAAGAATTGCCATTGGCAAGGTGAAGGGCTACTATTTTAAAGGCACTGCAGCAGCCCATGGAAGATAAAAGCCACAGTCAGTTTGCAACTATTATTCAGTCTTGGGTTTTATGTGGATTGTGGGTTTGGGTGCTGGGCTCAAAGCTCCACCAACAGCCTGTGGCTTTTCTCCAGGTGAGACCACAGTTTATTTCCTTAATGGATGACGGTGGCATACTTGCCAAGAGAAAAAAATAAAAATAATCTATTATTCTCCCTGTGAGTGTTAGTGTGTAGCAGAAAACCTCATTCGTTACACTAGAGTTTTGGGAATAACAGTAACAACAACAGATGCTTTTTCAGTTAAATTTTCATTGAGATACTTTCAACAGGTTTTCAGACCCAATTTTTTTCAGTGGGTAGGCAGAGGCAGGGATGGAAGGGGTTAATTTTATTGACATCTCACTCATCGACATTTCAGTGTCTTTTCAAATTCCCAGATTTCCTAGCTGGCCCCACAGGGAGCACGGGTTGGACCTGGCGGCCTCCTGAGGCCCCTTCCAACAGCAGATATCCAGCAGAAAACCTGAACAGTAAGAAAAAGGTGGTGGAGAGAAGAATTATTCTGATTTTCTAATTTTAATTTTAATTACTCTAATGCCAATGTGGCACACCAGTGAAGATCATCTATTAGCTTTATTTGTGAAAATCCTCCTTTATAAAGGATTTCTATGATTAAAAATAGATTTTTTCAACCTCTGGCTCTGTGCACGCACATAAAACCTCAAGTTGTTTAAGAGCTAGGTAGGCACGCTACCATCCAGAAGTTCCATACATACTTATATACAGCATATGCCATCCACCTATATATATATATATATATATATATATATATGTCTTTTAAGAAAAGTAAAGACAGGACATGCATATAGAGAAGGAGTTGGACACAGATCGCTGCTGAACATGCACAGTCTGTACTAAAAGGCTGCGGTCCACACAGCCCAGGATCCCTGCACTTAAGTGCCTAATAGTTTTTCAAATAGAACAACTCACTATATAGGTAGTGATTATTGAGATTTTTGGTTAAAAAAAAAAAAAAAAAAAAGGAAAAAGAAAATTGGCAAAAGAAACAGGGGGTGTGGGGCTCTCACATCTTTATTGAGATTAGCTGGCAGAGCAGTGGCCTCAGAGGGCTGCAAAGATGGAACGCCAGCCCTGCGTTTGTTCCCACTGCTGTGGAATATCTGGGTCATTAAATGGGACAAGTCCCCTCGGGAAGGGACAAGATGCTGGAAGAGAATCACGCCCGCACAAGCAGTGCTCTGCTGAGTGGTTTTAGGAAGGACGTGGTCACGTTTTGTGTTGATGGTGGGGATCAGAGGAGCAGCAGGAGGAGAAGGGGCGGGAACTGGGGGTCCTGTCACCAGAGCTCTGCGGGCACAACCAGGAGGGTGTTGGTCTGTAGGGCAATCCCCGAGCTGGAAGCCATGCATTGCTCTGGATGACTTTCATAAATAACAGGATGGAGTTATATACCTGGGTTTCCTTTGATTCCTACTCTGATTTATGCCTGTAAGAATTACTAACAGTATCATCTATGCTTTTGTCTCTAAATCCCCAGATTTTCTGCTCTCTCACCCAGATGCCAAAGTATCAAGTCAGCAACGATCCTGCTTCTCCCCTCACACATTAATTTTCTTTTCCACACCTCGACACAAATATACTTCATTCCTGCACCTCTGGGTCTTCTCATCTTACTATTCATCACCAGCCTCTATTTTTCAATATTCTTGAAATTTTACGTACTTCTAAATTTAAAACACTCTTGCCACACAACAACCCCTCTTTGAGAGAGCA